GAATACACACTACTACCTGTGAATACACACTACTACCTGTGAATACAAACTCCTGCCTGTGAATACACACTCCTGCCTGTGAATACAAACTCCTGCCTGTGAATACACACTCCTGCCTGTGAAAACACACTCCTGCCTGTGAATACACACCCCTGCCTGTGAATATGCACTCCTGCCTGTGAATACAAACTCCTGCCTGTGCCCAATACTTGGTAATCATCAATGGGTGTTTCCTCGACTGTTTAGTTTGATTAAGGTTTTTTTTTTTTTGCCTGAATGCCAAATCTATATTTTTTATTTACTTTATTTACTTATACTAAGCAGACTAAGACAGTGAATACCCCTTAACACTCGGGACTAGAATTGTGGGTGTTGGTGACTTTAACTTTCTAGGATTCATTCAACCTTTATCTCTACAGGTTAATCCCATTGAGCCTCGAGGACTCATTTACAAGAGAGACCTGAGCTGATTAAAGGCAGCAGTGATATGCACTCCTCGATGAGCTTATACCGATGAATTTAAGTTAACCACATTTGCATAGTATTTGTGCAGAACTAGAGTTTGAAATTCAAACTGGATTTTAATCACCTGATCATAAATTTAGTACCACTCGTCTGATGAGGTGGCAGCCCAGGGCCACCTTTACACCCAACGTGAGGCCAGACAAAAGGAGAACTCACATTTCCTTGCAGAGGACTCCAATCCGCCGGTTCTCTGAGCTGCTCCTCTCTTTGGACTCGCTGAGCTCCTCCTGGTACTTGGAGTTCTGCTGTTTCAAAGCCTCAAGCTGGAAGGAGATGCAGACAGAAGGGAAAGACTGCAGTGAAACATCTGTTAACTTATTGTTGCCATCTCAAACTCAATTTATCGCCGCAGTAGGCGGGAGGTAACCCGTGAATTACCTGCACTTTTTAGCTATTTTGAATTTGTCTTAAAAACACATCTTTTTGATAAACTCCAGACAGAAGAGTGTGAGGCGTCAGGTGTTTGATTTCCACTCGTTGTGTTTGAGGCGTTCAGGGACTCACATGGTGCAAGACGGGCCACGATCCAGATGTGGATCATTACAAACTGAATTTCTTTCACCCAAAATGTTTCCACATGATCTGAATTCTTCATGAGGGCAGAGATCAAGTGCTTTGTTCCAAAATATAACCTTATTTTTACTACCTATATTTTACAAACTAGCTTTTATTAAATCCCTGCTTCGTTAGGGAAACTGTTTGAGTGCGACAGCAACGCATCATCACTTTGACTAATAATGAGCTTTTTATGCATAAACAATGTTTCCAGTAAAAAGATGTTCACGTCATAAAAGTGAAATTCTTGGTCAGTAAAGATGAAAACTAAAGAAATGTTTCGTGTTCAGACGTTCCTTACACTCAACAAACTGCTGGGAATGTTCAAAATGTGTTGAACGAAAAACAAACGTGCCCAAACATTTTCTTAGAAGTCTGACTTTAAACACGTGCGGTTCCTCGGAGCAACGCTCGGAGCAACGCTCGGAGCAACGCTCGGAGCAACGCTCGGAGCAACGTTGCTCCAACGTGTTCGTTATCTGCAGATAAGTATTTAATTAGCAGGACTTCAAAAACCATGTTGGATCAGATCAAACAAAGAAGTTCTTCAGTCTGTTTCTCTTCAAGTGTCACATCAACCGTGTCCTCTGAGCCCCCCGCATGGTTCATTTTCTCAGCATTCATCTGCAGCTCCAGACTGAGATCTCGTCAACGTCCACGGAAACAAACACATACGCACGAACAGTCGACCGCCGAGCCGCCGGTACATCGTGAAGACAAACAACGGAAGAGCCGACTCATCTGCTCACATCACAGCCAGGTTAGAAAGAGGCGGTCGCACCTGGAAGTGAGAAGAGTAGATGCTGCTGGAGTAGCCCTGACGAAGAGCAGCTACGTCCATCCCCACACAGCTGGACGCACAGCTTCCTGCGCCTCCGTCTGTACAGCGCACAGCTGAACACAAGCTGAGCATCAATAAAACTCATGTCCCGCTGTGCACGGCTGCAGGAGGGAGACGGAGAGCACGTCATCCTCCCTCCCTCTTTCTCACATGCCAATTATGTAAGCCTGAATAAGCCCCTCCCCCTACTGCTCCCACCATAACGCTCGTCTGAAATCTGTGACTCGTTCTGGTGAGTTTTCACATCAGTTTCCTGCAGACCTCGTGATGTTCGGCCTGACATTTAAAAGTTGGGATGTTGTTTACAATTTGAACAATGAATGAATATATAAAGTATGAAAGTAAGAATGTAATTTTAAGTTTCATGGCATCTCAGAAAGACCGGGTCGAGGCAACAAGACGGCAGAAAAATGAAAAAGACAAACATTTTAGAGGATGAATCTCTCACAACATCAACATCCTGCAAAGAACTCTTTAAATAGAACAACTTCAGAATAATGTTCCTCAAGGTGGCACGGTGGTTCAGTGGGTAGAGTTGCTGCCTCTCAGCGAGACGGTTGCCAGATCAAATCCCAGTCAAGGGTCTTTCTGGGTGCAGTTTGCATGTTCTCTCCGTGCTGTGTGGGTTTTCTCCCACGGACCAAAAACATGCATGTTAGACTGACAGGTGACTCTGAACTGTCCCCAGGTGTCCCTGTGATGGACTGGAGATCTGTCCATGTGTCCCAGTGATGGACTGGAGATCTGTCCATGTGTCCCTGTGATGGACTGGAGATCTGTCCAGGTGTCCCTGTGATGGACTGGAGATCTGTCCATGTGTCCCTGTGATGGACTGGAGATCTGTCCATGTGTCCCTGTGATGGACTGGAGATCTGTCCATGTGTCCCTGTGATGGACTGAAGAACTCTCCATGTGTCCCTGTGATGGACTGGAGATCTGTCCATGTGTCCCAGTGATGGACTGGAGATCTGTCCAGGTGTCCCTGTGATGGACTGAAGAACTCTCCACGTGTCCCTGTGATGGACTGGAGACCTGTCCATGTGTCCCAGTGATGGACTGGAGACCTGTCCATGTGTCCCAGTGATGGACTGGAGATCTGTCCATGTGTCCCAGTGATGGACTGGAGATCTGTCCATGTGTCCCAGTGATGGACTGGAGACCTGTCCATGTGTCCCTGTGATGGACTGAAGATCTGTCCATGTGTCCCAGTGATGGACTGGAGACCTGTCCATGTGTCCCAGTGATGGACTGGAGACCTGTCCATGTGTCCCAGTGATGGACTGGAGATCTGTCCATGTGTCCCAGTGATGGACTGGAGACCTGTTTTAGTTCAGTGCCCTGAGACGATGTATGTTGTGACTTGGAGTTACAGAAATAAACTGAATTAAATTAAATTAAACTAAATTAAGTTAAACTAAATTAAATTAAACTAAATTAAATTAATCGAAATTAAATTAAATTAAATTAAGTGTGAGGATAGTCTGAAGTTCGGGGGAGTGGTGGCGCAGAGGTTAGAAGGTGGGCCTGTGATCGGAAAGTCGCAAGTTCAACTCCCAGTACAATCAACATCAAAATGTGGGTGGAAAAGGTGAAGCACCCACACCTGCCTCCACCTTCATTGGCCCCACCCTGGGCCCATGAGAAAGGCCCTTAACCCCCACCATCTGCTTCTAAACAGGTCTCTCTTGAAAATGAGTTCTCGTGGCTCAATGAGTCTACCTGGATCAATAATACCTGGACCAATAATACCTGGACCAATAATACCTGGACCAATAATACCTGGACCAATA